CTTTTGTTGTATTGAGGACTGTGTGAACCCAATCAACACAACAAACTACTGCGTACACAGTACGGTAGTATGATAGGAGATAGGAGTATACTTCGTAACATCATATTTCCGTTCTCCTTCCTCTACTCTCTCCAAGCTACGGTAGCAGTCTCTGTGAGAGTATTCGCATAAACAACTTGTCTTTCACTGTCAACAACACTCATCAAGAACAAAGAACTAACTGTAAACAAACCATGAAAAAGGCAGAGGGATTGTCCTTTTCATTGGGAGTCGGTAGCAACAAGAACAAGAACAGCAAGAAGAAAGAGAAAACGAAGGACACGCCAAAAAAACATCATCATGAATGGGGCTTTGACGATGACGACGACGATTTTCATCATAACAACACAAATCATGATTCTTTGTCCAAAGAACCATTAGTGATTCCATTACAAAAAGATACACGAAGTACGTTACAAGCGCAACAACGACAACAAAAACAACAACAACAACAGATTATTGTTTCAGTTTCCAAAGAAGATCAAGCCGCTATTGATGCCCTTCAAAAGGATGCGTTTATTTCAGTTCCTACGAATAAGGATGATGTCAATGACGACGAAAAGCTGATCATTGATGCTTCGAATGATACCTTTCAACGGAACAAAAAAAAGGGAAAAACGAAAACTGATAGCAATAAGGAAGAAGAAAACGACGACGACGACGAGGATAAGCAGTTTCGTAACGAATTGAATTTATTACCCGATGATCCGTCCGTCGAATCACATGTGTATCGACAGGTTCCGATCAGTGAATTTGGAGCAGCCATGTTACGTGGAATGGGATGGACGGGAGGAGATGACAATGACAAAAAGAACAAAAATGATGATGACATGCTCATGCCTCGTCCGTCACGTTTGGGATTGGGAGCTACACCCAAACTCTTATGGAACGATGATGATGATGATGATACAACCGACAACGGTCTACTTGCTACACACAGTCGGTCTCGTCCTCGTCGTCCTCGTCGACAGGATCAAGTTCAACGGGAAGAACGTTTGAAACGACAACAGCAACAATACCAACAGGAACGAAACAAACAAATCGCCATGGACAAACAACAGACATTACAAATCGGAAGTATCGTTCGTGTCGATACTAGTACTAATAATATGGACGACATCAACATCATCAACAACAACAACAATAATAATAATAACAACAACGAAAAAGCCATTGGACGACATCCGCATCAACAGCAATTGAAACGACGACGAGCACGGATTGAAAAAGTGAGTGGTGTTCCTGGACTTAACATGATTTTGGTCGTCTTTGAAAGAGAATCACAACCGACCAAGGTCAAAAAGGGAAGTGTCACCTTGGTGGAACGATCAGAGCTCATCGATGATCCTTTTGAAGAAGGTCCAATTGATCAAAAGGAAGAGAAAGAAGTAATTAAAAAAGAAGAGGGTGATGATAGTACTTTACAAGACCAACAACAACGACGAACAAGTCGTCGTCGTGACAATCACAATGACAATCACAAGCGTGATCGCAAACGTGAAAGATCACTACACCATGAGGATGAGGATGATAATCCCAATCGAAGAGACAAATCCTCCAATCGATACAGCAGTACTTTATCATCCTCCAAAAAATACAAGAAGGAATCATCATCATCATCAACAACAACAACAACAGACCCATCAGCAGCATCAACAATGTCATGGCTGATTCCTTCCATCCGAGTTCGGGTCGTCTCACGCAAGTATGGAGATCGACATTACAAACAAAAGGGAACCGTCGTCGATGTTGTACGAAAGGGAATGGCAACCTTAAGCATGGACGATGGACGACAAGTCATTACGGTTGCGGAACGACACTTGGAAACGGCACTGCCCAAAGTGGGTGGTAACACGTGTATTTTGGCAGGCCAGCATCGACTGGCCAAGGGACGGTTGTTAGAACGAGACTCCAAGGCCAATAAGGGTGCTGTCCAACTATTTGAAGACATGTCGATCGTCACGACGTCCCTGGATGATATGGCCGAATGGTGTGGTCCCTTGGACGATGACGATTTGGACGATTCTCAGTTTTAATTCCTTATATGACAGTACCAACTAACTATTAACATGCCCTTCCGATACATCGAACATGCCTCGGCTTGACACTCTCGTGTTAGGATTGCCATATTACTATCAATATTATTATAATGGTCAAACGAGTCAAGTCGTGACAAGACAGCTCGGAGCTCGGAGTCGAAAAATCTAGCACGTCTTGGTGGTTGCAGCTGCCTCGTGTATTTCGTCTCCTTCCCATACATATATTTGAAACATTATTATGTATTATAATATATATATATATATATTATTCGCAAATTTAACATTTGGAAACTCCAGAAAAATAACAACGTCAAACTGTCGTGTGTACCGAAAGAAATTTCTCAACGCCATGTCGTGCATTGGTGAAAGCACAGTGATGACCAAGTCTTGCATCTCTCTTGGAACGGAACATAAAAACCGACGATAGTATTAGAACTACTACTTTCGTACTCACCGTCAATACTATTCCAGCTCGGTTGTACTCTCTTGTAGAACGTTTCCCACAAATCAACAACGACTACGACGACGACGACATGTCCGAATTCGATCTGGCGAACAAGAACTTTGAAGAATGGACGGCCCACGAGTTGGCTCAATACTTCAAAGATCAGACCGATGTCGATAACAATTATGCAGAAATGCTCGAAAAGCAAAAGGTGGACGGCAAAGTGGCACCACATCTGACCGAAGATGATTTGCGACAAATGGGAATCGATACGGTGGGAGATCGCAAACGAGTCATGGCAGCCATCGACACCTTGAAAAAGGCCAAGGATATGAACGATCGGTCCAAAGTCCTTTGGGAGGGACAAGAAATCATGTATATCAGTTGCTGGCAATGGTGTTGCGAAACGTGTTGTGGATGCTGTCCGCAAGATCCAGAACTGTACACTCTTTCGTACAACCATTTGTCCATCAAAAAGCCCAACCAGAATCGGTGTGGTCCCTGTGTGTGTTGCTGGGGTCACAGTTACGAAATCAACAACATCGACATCAGTAACATCCAAGACGTCGACGTCGAGGGGGTTCCTCCTCCCTGCTTTCAACAATGTTTCTGTGGCGCCAAGACACAAGAACATTTGAAGATCCAAACCAGTAACGATCCCGAACGTATCATCCTCAAACTCGAAAAGGGAACCGGCCAACAAGTGTCCCGCAAAATCAAGAATCAAGTCGAAGTCATGCAACGGATGGAACGAAATTGATGACAAATATTATTATGATGATACATATATTATTATGTCACAGTTTCTTCCTCTCTCTCTCTCTCTCTCTCTCTCTCTCGTTCCTGTCCTTTTTATTAATTGTACTTCATTCTTTTCTTCGATTATAAATCCAAAAATGAATGTCATTTACTACATTTTGTCATTATCATGTTTTACACCATGACGGTAGGGTCTCATCTCATCTTTTTAAAAAACAAATTGTCGATTTCGTCCATCCCCCCTCTACTAGAACAAAAAGTATTTTTGAGCCAACGGGAGCTTTTCGGACGGTTCGCATGTCAACAACTCCCCGTCGGCCTTGACTTCAAACGTTTCGGGGTTGACTTCCATCTTGGGCGTTGCGTCGTTGAACACCATGTCCTTCTTGGTCAAGTTGCGACAATTCACAACTCCCTCCACGGCCTTTTCCAATCCAAACTTGTCTTTGATACCACCATCGGCTGCGGCCTTGCTGACAAAGGCATACGAATGTTGCTTCTTGGACGTCATCGCTCCAAACATGGGCCGCATCTTGACGGGTTGAGGTGTCGGAATCGACGCGTTCGGGTCTCCCATTTGACTCCATGCGATACATCCTCCCTTGATGATCATTTCCGGTTTGGATCCAAACATACCAGGTTTCCACAGGACCAGATCGGCCAACTTGCCCTTTTCGATCGAACCAATCAAATGGGACATGCCGTGCGTAATGGCAGGATTGATGGTGTATTTGGCCAGATATCGTTTCACACGGAAATTATCGTTGTTGTTGCCCGAATCTTCCGGTAATGGTCCACGTTGTTGCTTCATCTTGTCCGCCGTCTGCCACGTTCTGTTGTTAAATGGGAAGATACAAAAAAATAATGGTAGTTTCAGGTTGCAACAACAAAAGGGAGAATCACGGTGTGAGAGGAAATACGTCGTAAACAGTTCAGCGATGTGTACAGTGTTTCAGAGGATACCACATCTGCAATGAAGGAATTGGTCATGGCTCGGTGCCGATTTTCACCCTCACAAAATGGTACTCACCGAGTAATGACTTCGCCTACACGTCCCATGGCTTGAGAATCGGACGACACGATAGAAATGGCGCCCATATCATGCAAGATATCCTCTGCGGCAATTGTCTCGGCACGGATACGAGATTCGGCAAATGCGACGTCTTCGGGAATACTCGAATCCAAATGATGACAGACCATGAGCATGTCCAAATGTTCGTCCATCGTGTTTATAGTAAAAGGCCGGGTCGGATTCGTCGAACTGGGAAGGACGTTTTCGTGTTCGACAATCGAAATAATGTCCGGCGCATGCCCACCGCCGGCACCTTCCGTGTGATACGTATGAATGGTCCTTCCCTTCATGGCCGCAATGGAATCGGCCACAAAACCACTTTCATTCAACGTATCGGTATGGATAGTCACGGCAATATCATGATCGTCAGCAAAGCTCAAACAGGCATCAATTGCAGAGGGTGTGGTACCCCAATCTTCATGCAACTTGAATCCACAAGCACCTGCCAACAAACAATCGTGTAACACGGATGGATCACTTGTATTCCCCTTGCCACTGAAACCGAAATTCAATGGATACAAGTCAGTGGCCTGTAACATTAGCTCAAATTGAGATGGAGCCGGAGTACATGTTGTGGCAGACGTTCCGGCACTGGGACCGGTACCTCCTCCAAACATGGTCGTCAATCCACTGGCAATCGCATCATCAATTTGTTGTGGACAGATCCAATGCACATGGGTGTCGATTCCACCCGCAGTCAAAATGAGTTTTTCTCCCGCAATGACATCGGTGTTGGCACCAACAATCATATTGGGATCGACATCGTTCATCATGTCGGGATTGCCTGCCTTGCCAATACCCACAATTCGATTCCCTTTGATCCCGACATCGGCCTTGTACATGCCAAACAGTGCCTTAGAAAATCATTTTGCAAGCACTTTCAACGACGTCATCTCGAAATTTGTAAAGGATCTCACCTTGAGAATTCCAGTGACACTGTCCACAATCAAGGCATTAGTAATGACAACATCAAGAGCTTGGTCCGAAGTGACGCCGGTGGCCTGTGTGATTATTATTTGGAATCGAATCACAATACAATACGAGACGTGGTGAGTACGTCTGTTAAACTAATGATTGGGTTGCAACTCAAACAAATTCTCCACAACAAGCATCTCCAGTATATCATACCTGTCCCATTCCTTCTCGTAACGACTTGCCACCACCAAATTTACATTCATCCCCATATGCCGTCAAATCGTATTCGACTTGAATTTGCAAGTTCATGTCACCCAAACAGACCTTGTCACCAGTTGTTGGACCGTACATATCGGCATAACCGGATCGTTCCACCACACAGGGTTGTCCTTCGGGAACTTCCATGGCCGTAACGTGTTTGAATCCGCCCGCTTCGACACGTTTCATGATTTCATCGTACCGGTCTTCGGTAGCCAATCCGTCCGTCAAACGGTTGCCCGAAATGACATTTTGTCTCCCACCAATCTCTACCAGAGTGACCGTCTTGGTCTCACCCGGTTCGAATCGGACACTGGCGCCACTAGGCACATTCAAGCGTTTGCCAATGGACACACGTCGATCGAATTCCAATTCCTTGTTGGTCTCGACAAAGGCATAATGCGATCCGACTTGAATGGGACGATCGCCCGTGTTGGTGACGGACAATTCGACCAAGGCACTGCCCTCATTGATAGTAATGGGTGGACCATCCGTAATGATGGATCCAGGTGTGGGCAAGGAAGCTTCGTCTTCAGTAACTTGTTGCTCAAAGACACTAACATCGGGAACGGGTAAAAAAGATCCATGCAAGGCCAGTTCCAAATCTCCATTCAAACGAGCAATGGGCGAATGGACCGTCAACAACTTGGTTCCATCAGGAAAGGTGGCTTCAATCTGTACATCTTTGACCATTTTAGGTACACCCGGCAAGACTTGATTGGTACCCAATAGAGATTGACCCAAGGTCATTAATTCCGACACTTGGTGGTTCCCATCACGAATATATTCCATCATTTGCATGGTAATAAGAGCAATGGATTCTGGTAAGTTGAGACGCACGCCTCTTGCAAGACGGTATTGGGCCAAACGGCCGACGGAATGCAATTGCAAATGATCCGCCTCACGGGGTGTCAAATGAAGAGACCGAGTTTGTTGTGAAACATGAATGGTAGATGATGTTACAACAGCACAGTGATTGCTTTTCTTGTAGTTGTTCTTGTTATGGTTCCATAACGACGCGGCTGTTGCACTGCCCAGGATGGTACTGCAGCTTCGAGTGACACCCTTTGTGACAGTGGCAGTTGATGGTGTCGCTCTTGCCGAAAGGATACGGCGAAGAGAGGAGGATGAGCGCATCGATAACAACATTTTGGAATGGAACCGTTGGAAGACAACAACGTTCTAATGTTCCAGTCCTTCCACTGAAAGTTGATCTGCAGAACAGTTGTAGAATGCAGATAGAGGTAATAAAAGAAGTAAGAGCTTTTGCAAGGTCCAACAGTTGCTCTTTCCTACTCTAGCTACGGAGTAGCAGAGAAGCATGCCTCCATCCATCCATCTCCATACATTTCGCATCGCATCGACCGTTGTTCCGAAAGATCCTTGGAAGTAAAGAGGAGCGTTGCCGCGAGCACATCATCCAAAAAAGATACCGTACTCGAAGTACTTTGATTGCGCATGACGTCAAAATGACGTTGTAGAGCGAAGTGGGGCTGCGAAAAACGAGGGAACTAACTGTAAATGTAATACGGGATCATGCTTCTACTACCGGTAGAGTACAGTTGGAGACAAAGGAAGATTCGTAGTAGTATTTACTTCGAAGTATATTTTAAAATCATTGGTTTCTATTTGCTTTGGCTACTAAGGTCAGACTAGTATTGTTTCGCATCTAGGAAGATGGCTCAACCAACCCGACCTTAACTGTAACATAAGCGGCGAGGCTATGTAAGGAGGGATTAAACACTCTGATGTTTGTTTCGGGTAGTTGTCACAGGAAACTGTACACAGTAACAAGAAACAAAATACTACAAACATTTCGCGAAGATGCTTATTAAAATGTACCAAATTTCTAACGACCGGGAATCTTCATGCAAAGCCTGAAGAACGACCATCAACGTAAAGGTTTGGGTCGACGTGCATCTTGTTATTGATTATGTCGTAGCGATTCCACCACCCTAGTCGTCTCGCAAGCGATCCAGCCCCAGTTGCCATTGATCTATATGATATTAAGACTCCTGGCTTCATGATTATTCCACGCAGAGAAATGAATCCAGCACTTACAGTTAATGATATTGGCTCTCCAAACAAAACAATAAATTAGAATACACCTTGATCTCGTGCGGGACAGTGTTCGAAAAACATGGGTCCGTACTCGTACGGCTGATTGTCCCACAACCTTTGCCAGCTGGGATGATGGTAATACCCTTTCCATGATGTTGGATGTGCCTTGAATAATTCTTGATGTTGTGATGAATGTTGACGGCAATATTCTTGAGTGGGCATGTAGGCTTGAATGTGGCCGCTTCGCATGGCATCGGCATATGTTATGTCGATTGGTCGCATATAGGTTATTTGCTGATGAATCGATCCCAAAAAATCGACCAAATATTCGAGACGGAGTGGATTGACGACGTAGGCATGTGTATCCGTCATGTACTCAATTTTCCAATACGCATCCCGAGTTGGATCGATATATCGTGATCGACTCTGTGGCGCAAACGGTCCCGTCAGGGAAGTTCCAAATACACCTTGGCAGGCCAGCTGTTGAAACAAGTCGGGGTTGGTCTTGTTCGCGACAATTGTAGTGTTTAAAGGCTTCGATGAGAGGTAGGAAAAGGGCTTGCCGCCAATCATGAACAAGTCCCAGTCATGTGGTAATTTGGGAATGGTCGCTTCAAGGTACTCGTGCAAATTGTTGGAACATGCAACATCGTCTTCCAAAATCACCAACGCGTCTGGCCGCTGCTGGAGAGTTTGATAGTAAGATAAGGTCAACTTGAGCAAGTTCCAGTGACTCATGTAGCATCCAACAACGTGAGGATTTTCGTAACCACTTTTGAATCCCTTTTTGAAGAGAGAAGCATTGAGTCTTTTGGTCATTGTCAAGGCATACCATTCGTCCAATATCACTTGATCATTTCCGTTGGAGGCTGGAAACCAAGTGGCGTTGATACCAGACAACCGATTCCGTTTCATGCAGTCTTGTACTTTGGAATGATGCAAACTAATCACAAACGATTGTATTCGAAAGGGGCTCTTGATTTGGTTGTTGTTGTTGCCATGAATCAACCGTTGAGACTCTTTTGGTCCTTTCGTTTCCGGTTTCGTAGCAGAAGTCAAGGTGTCAGTACTTCTTCTGAAACCGTCCGAAGTCATCACTGACATATCAATCCATTTCATTTCTTTCCTATCTATGTTGACACACCGCATAGAAATTGTGACGTAATACATTGTCCATAGGGACAGAAGAGTAAAGAAAATCCAGCGGAAACGCATTGTATGATCGTTGTACCACAGCGGCCGTCATTACATCAGGATCTTTCTTCCCAGTCAAATAGCAGCAACGTTTTGTTTCTTCTCCGCTGCTCTCTCTACTACCGGTAGAGTATCCATAGCTATTGAAGAGAGACGAGAAAATTGGCCTGTCATGAACTCTTCTCCAATAAATGAAATTTTTAACGTACTACTATTATTACTACGGTAGATACCGTACCTGTACCTGGGTACCTAGCTACCTAAGCTACCGGTAGTAGTATCAAAGATCAAAGGTATCGCCTATTCGCCAAACCATTTTTATCAATCGATCACGAATGACGTCTCCGATTTCTATGATACACTCTATGTTTCCGTGGTGAACTACTACCGGTATGTACCAATAATTGCACCTCTACTACCGGTAGGGGTTGTGGAACACTCCATGGATGTTTTCTTCGGACAAGGGAGAAAGTTTAATTTTTCAAACCATGTTTCTGTAAATTTACAGTTAATTAATTAAAGATTTCATTGAAGGAAACAAATTACTTCTTACAGTAATAAACTGTAAACTGTACCGTGTAAAAGTATTAGGTATACCTACTTCACTGTTATTACTTCAAAGTCAGTCAAGTTAGAGCTCTTTTTCCAATCCCTCTGCGTCGGTGCGAGGGGAGGGTGTTGGAGATACTGTCAACAATTACGAAACAGAGACTTCGGACAGGTATTCGACAAGGCACATAGTAGTTGATAGCCTTAAAGTCGAATTCTTTCAGTGATATAAAGCGGTCCCTGTCCCGTTCTGGATCGGACGGCGGTAGGTCCCAGATAGCAAACTATCTTCCAAAACTGATTTTGATTGCATACATCAGGCAAGATATTGACATGAAAAGTACAATCATAGCTAACGAGTTTATTCTGCGAGAGAATTTAGTTGCTTTCTCGCTGCATCCAATCTCTTAGAAGCTGTTGTACTGGTCAATCCACCAGCCGAGGATCCTTCTGGAAATCTTTTCGGGACACTCATGACACCCGTAAGTTCCTCCTTTTCTTGTGGCTTGGAAGAAGAGGTCGATCGACTGGTCACTCCAAGAGTTGGCTGGCGTTCTGGCAACGGAACTCGTTCGGACGTTTCCAATCGAACGGCTGTCAGGTCTAATAGTTGCTGTAAAAACCGATTGGATGATTTTAACAATTTGTCCCGACGATCCCACAACTTGCGGGTGAGTATCCTAGAGAAAGCAATCACCTCTTGCCGGTCCAATGATTGCATGTCGATCGCTTTGCTTCCATTCGTCTGATGTTGCTGGGATGGCAATGTGCTGAATATTTCAATCAGTTTTCGAGTCAATTCCACTGTCTTGTGATCTTGTTCGTTGGCATTGACCAGCGGCGATGTTTGGAACAAACCCAATGGGTCAACAATAGATCCTAGAAGCGTGCGACCATTGGGAAGGACACCCGATTGGAGCCTTGCCT